AACACATACACAGAGTTTAGCCCACTATAAAAAGATCTGCCCAAAACACTTTCTGGAAGTGCCCATAGCTTAGTTGTCAATTTTCTATCTACAAAATTATACCTATGCTATCCTGTACTTAAATCCTTCTGACTTTATGTATCAGGCTTCTCGCCCTCTTTGATGTTAACAATAAGCGAACACATTGACAATGCTTACTAAGTTAACAACGATTCATTTTGTCTTGCCTCAAAATACTAGATAATAAGTTTGCCACATAACTCTTTTGGTTATTGTGGCAGGAATTTTAATGAATACTCTGGATATTCAAAATGCATTCATTTGTAAACAACATGTGTGGTATTGGATGTAGTACTGAGTATCTGAGATTTGGAAGCTTTAACACAAGACATAAAACATACATGGTTAAGTAAAAAATAAAATGTTGTAGATTTCAGGCCTTTTATCTGGCTTGTAACTTGGCCTTGGATCTGCAATAAATGAATACATTTCCAAAGCATCATTGCAAGCAAACGTCCACATCTCTGCTTAACAGAAGTGACCGCTGCTGCTTTTTTACGACTATTTCATCAGACATGAAGTAGTTTCAGAAATCTACTTGACAGATCCTTTCACTGTTCTTTCTAATGTAAAATGGTGTTTGATTGGTTGGCCATCGGGGGGAATTTGTTTCGAGTAATAAATCCAGGCCTGTTGTCGTCCTAATAGTGGCACTCACCTTGAGCCAAAGACACTTCTAAATGAAAGAGGAGATAAAAAGGAGAGTGGGCATCCTCTCCATGCACTCATTAAAATCAAACTCTGAGCCCTGGAGAATTTTAATGTGGTATTGATCGCTCTAATCTGTGGTTTGGTCTTGTACCTGGGGATCCTGCATGTGGACGGGACAGGGCAGCAGTCTGTGGGAGACCGCACAGCTCATTAGAATGCATGAATAACATCTACAATCACATGAAGCTTGTGCAAACGGCAGCTTTGTCGTCGCTGTGGATCAAAACATTGCATTTGAGTGTGTTTTTGAGCCCTTGGACTCATCAACAAGTGAGTGGGCTCTCTGTGAAGCTGTGGCCTTCAGTCCTCTGCTGACTCATTTATTCCAATTATGAATACTAATAGTCTCTGCAAAAAGGAAAATAATTCACCATCCATGATTTAACAATGTGATTCTTGCCAAATAACTTTCAAAATGGACACAAGACAACAGACAATTGGCTACAGCATATTACAGGCATGTCAAAACTAAGGCCCAGGGGAAAATTTCGGCCCTTTGTGTCATTTTATGTGACCCTCTGCCTTGGTAAATTTGAATAGTCTTTTACATAATAAACACAAGTTCATGTTATCATCCAGCCAACTTCAGATCAGTCATGTTACACCTCGTTGTAAAGCTCAAGCCCTTGAGAATTCAGCAATTGACTTTAATTGAAAACGCTGACATCTATATTAAACAGAACATGATGTAGATGGTGCAAATGTAGCTGGTGAGATGGTAAACATTTGTCATTCAGCCAACTTCAGCTTTGGCAAAATATGGACATGTCGTACCTCATGAACAGCCTGATCCCAGTCAAAACAGTTTTACAATCCGTGTCGTCGCCCTATAGACATTTCAGATGGACTAAGGTGGCCCTCTTGCTGAAAAGTTTGGGCACCCCTGGTCTATTAGATCAAAATGATATTCTCTATTTTTGATTTCAAGTTATGCACCATTGATATTTCTCTGTGAGAGGCAGTAAGATGAGGAGAGATCAGGGAGGACCCAACACTCCTCAGCTTCAAGCGATGGCTGACATTCAACCAGCCATGTGATCACTGAACCTAACTCTTCATCCTCTCTCAACATTCTCCTTGTTGTACTAATATTCTCTGTTGTCTTGGTATACCGTGTGCATGATAGACTTGTTTCTGTGCCTGCCGAGGGATTGCGGATGAACATTTTCTATGTAGCTACATGAACAATGAACAATGATTACAGAATGTTAAATATGCGTCCTCTATCACTTGACTGTTACTTTAGCCAACATCCGCCCACATGCTAATATGTACAGTAGTGTCATCACTGTGAGTATGGGAACCCACAGAGCTCATGACTCACTACGTACACTGTTCTGCTTGTGTCTCTTCAGTGCCATCTGAACCAACTGGGACTCTGAGAAGCACAGGGACTGACCTCCTGATGGGACTCTGAGGAGCACAGGGACTGGCCTCAAGATGGGACTCTGAGCAGCACAGGGATTGGCCTCATTCTGGGACTCTGAGGAGCACAGGGACTGGCCTCCTTCTGGGACTCTGAGGCGCACAGGGAGGGGCTGGCCTCATTATCGGACTCTGAGCAGCACAGGGACTGACCTCATTCTGGGACTCTGAGCAGCACAGGGACTGACCTCATTCTGGGACTCTGAGGAGCACAGGGACTGGCCTCCTTCTGGGACTCTGAGGAGCACAGGGACTGGCCTCCTGCTGGGACTCTGAGGAGCACAGGGACTGGCCTCCTGCTGGGACTCTGAGGAGCACAGGGACTGGCCTCCTGCTGGGACTCTGAGGAGCACAGGGACTGGCCTCCTGCTGGGACTCTGAGGAGCACAGGGACTGACCTCCTGCTGGTGAGCAGAGTCAGGACTAAACATGGGGAGGCAGCGTTTCAGAAAAATGTGACACAGACTTCTACTCCGACAATTTTCAAATCCAGGTTAAAAACAGTTCTGTTTAGCCGTTGCTACAACTGTAGGATTGTATCTTGACAATTTGTAATGAACTGTGATGATCTATGATTGTAATACCTTGTGTGATTGTGTTTGATTTGCCTTATGTAGGAACTGTGCGATATAAATTAACTTGCCTTGACCACTTCAATATTCTTGCACTGTATATGTATTACAGATGTATCTATAGATTTATACGTCAGTTCTCCGGAGTTAGTGTAACTTATCACATTCAAAATACAAGTACATATTCTGTTACGCTAGACTGGAGTATATCGGTGAATATATCCATCCATCGGTTAATATATCCATCCATCCATTTTCTTCTGCTTCACCTGTTGCCGGGTTGCGGGGATAAATGTATTCAGCTGAAAATAAAGCTTTTGAAAGTATAGAGATGTGCTACACTTTTTAACTTATGTTGTGTGCTCCTCATTCCCACTGTTCTGCAATCTGTGACGCCACACTGAATCTCTTAATATTAATCTTGAAGTATGCTCATGAATGTGGATTGTCCCTTTCAAATAAACGAATAAACAAATACATAAAATATACAAGAGCGCACGCCTTGAGGTCCTTGAGCCGGAATGTGCCTTTGAAATATACTGTATGTCAACACAACATCTGAGAGAATCCTGTGACATCATTCCGAGTGCGGTGGACAGGTCAAGGATTCTCAAGGAGTCCTGTGATGAACATGTGATAAAACATGACCCGGTCGACACCATAAAACGGCAAATGTAGATGTAGCAAGGTCTCCTGTAATGATTCTTATCCACTCTGCGCCCGTGTTTTATCACCGCAGCCGTAGGACTATCAGCCGCCTCAATCTCCCATTCTCCTCCTTTGCAATTATAGAGTTTTGGATGAGATAATTTCCTCATAACTGTATAACATGAGCTTCACCAGGTACAGATCACCAACTCCCCCCAAAACCGATCTCTTTCTCTTGTCTATTCATTATTTGTGGACCATGGATGCAATTTAGCTATTGTGCTAATTCCAGCATATTTATATTGATGTTATTGGCCTACACATTGATGTACTGTCCTAAATGTAAATAAATAAAACAAAAACACACTTAAACTCAATTTCTATATAGTTGTAAGACCCCCTTTGCCTCTTTACTTGACGTTATGGGGTGAGAGCTGCCTGAGAGAGAGTGGATAAAGCTGATGCAAAGATGCGATAGAGGCCAAAAATACATACATGTGAAGAGAGCGAGGACCTATGGATTGTCTTTTTTATGGTTTTTAAATTGAGGTACTCAACATTTAAAAGTGAATTTCAATTACTTTTCCAATCATGAAGAAAGTGAGAACTATATAAAGTGAATGCTCCGCTCTGACCCGCCCATCTTCACACCGAGAGCGTCCAGATTGGCCAAATTTACTAAAAATCCATGATCCACTGGAACGGCCCTTCTTCATTGGTTTAACTATTCTCCTCCAGCAAATCTTACTGCTGATTGATTTTCCAAGGGGAGGGTCTATTTTAAACACATTTGCTTAGAAAAAAATACTTTCTTAATGAAACATGATTGTACAGACTGGTCAAATGATCACAAACATGCATGCTAACCCTTTATTGTTCATTTTTTGAAGAAAGCAATATATTTTTGGTGATTTTTGTAGGAGCACTAATAACTAAAATAATTTGTTGTTGTGAGTTCCTGTTATGAACCCCTTGTTTTTATTTTATTTGTATTATAGGCCTCTACCAAATGGTTGAGATGCAGCTTGATGGTAAAAGTACCAAAACCAAATGATACAAATGCCCCAATGAGGTATATTTTTTTTCCTAGTACATACAGTGACTCAAAAAGTGATCCACCATGAAAGGGTTAATGATGGAATTACAATTGAAGTTGCAGACATCGCCTTTTGTTTTTGGTTGCACAAAATGACCATTGAACGCGACTCAAAGCAGACACATCCCCGCTGGTATCGCAGTAACAGGCTGTCCATCCTCTCCTGTCCCTCCTGCAGGTGTGTGTTGGCGGGTACACTCACAGACGCTCATGAGGCACGTTGCATCTGCAGCACTTGCGCACTGGCTCCACGCTCCTCTGACTTTGCGCGCACATATAGTAAAAAAGAAAGCAGCGTCTCTCTTCTCTTCTCTCCTCTCCTCTTTTCTCTCTCAGACGCCTCCTCAGGACCAGACTCTTTCTACTGAGTGGCATCGCAGTTGAAGCCTGCAGGCGCGGTGATGGCTCTCCAGTCCAGCGGGTGATCGGGCTCCTGTCCATGGACCACGCAGGATGTGTAGCCCCCCTAGATCATAGCAGTCTGTGGGATGGCGAACCGAGGCTCGTGCGCGGCGGCGGCGGCGATCTTGCTCATGCCGCTGGGTTTCTTGGTGCTGTCCGTGCGTGGAGGTGAGTTTTTGTGTGTGATTTGTCTTTTTCTCTTTTTCTTCTTCTTTTTTTTTATTTTTAGGAAACGCAGCAGGGAAGCCATTTTCCAATAGAACAGACAGGAGTTGAAGAGTTGAGACGGTGCTGTGTTGCTTGTGCTGCATTACACATGATAGAAGAGAAGGTCCCGTTGCATAATAGAATCACTGTTTAAGCATCAATAGTATTCCAAATGTTCTGGATTATGTGCTGGTAACCATGGTAATAAAGCCATCAATTTTGGTTCAGCAACACAACATATATAATATAAAAAAGTTTGAGTTTGAGCTTGTATCTTATAGCCTTTCCTGAGTAATTAGGCCAATAGACAAACTGTTAAGCAATTGATATATGGGACAATATATTTTAATATTGTATATCCTGTATATATGTTGTACCTATATTCTTTGTAATGCATAGATGATGTGCACTTGGTCAAATGAGGCTTGCACAGTCAGTTATTGCTGCTTGTTTAGTAAATAGCCAATGTATTTTGCTTGTATCCTATACCTTCCCAGTATCGCCGATTTACCCATATGTCATTTGACTATAACATGTGGTCGACTAGAACTGAAAGATACAGCCCTAATACTTTGGGTGGAGAGCTTGTTCTAATGTCTTTGTCTGCATAGCTGTGTATACTTGATTATTGCTCAATGCTGCTGTTTTCTGTGGTTTGGTTTACTGTGGTTTCATTTTAATATTAGCAGTGGTAGTATTGTTTCTATGCTAAAATAAATCACAGTAGAGAACTGACAGCATGTGTACAAGCAACATTTAGGGAACGTAGATATATTTGACCAGTTCATAATAATATACAGTACATGCACATCTATTCAAGTGTTTTAAGCAATGGAAGCAGGCCTCAATCGTTTTACTCTGGCTCTAACTGAAATAAGATTCATCTACAACCCACAATATTTGTTTTGGAAAATGTAGACAGTGGAAATTTGAAGCCTTGACTTTGGAACAGTATTCGATTGGTCAGCCTGCTGCCTATGTTTAGATGCGTTGATTAGAAATAAGAAAAAAATCTTAATTGACAATCAGCCTGAACCGCAGGAAGCCGTCTAGACCTGGCCCCGCGTGTGATATGACATTGAAGGAAGGATATTTACTACATCACCACATGTTCCACTGGTCATAGTCACAGCACGAAAGGGATTTATGGCTATAATCTATAGGTATTGCCCGTGGTACACATCTTTCCTGCGTTCTGTAGCCGTGGCCTTTAGCAGAATTGTAATGAGTGGTCTTTACATGATGTTGGATGGAAGTACTGAGGCTCATGTATTTTTGATGATATTGCATATTTTTAACTTGAGATCTTGCGCCCGAGGCTTCTCTCACTCTGCTAGCACTTATGTAAAGGCGCACAACACGTTAGACACAGCTTATTATGTAAAATGGATGGAAAACACCATTTAGGATTGTAGATCGATGACATGTTTCGGTTATAGAGAGTTTTTTTTAAAGGAATTTCATCCAAGGAAAAGTCTATTAAACTGTTAAGTGGTGTATTGCTGTGGCGTCTTCTGGGAGTGCAAGCCTCATTCACTGTGATGGTGATTTTGGTGATTCTCTGCGATGTTAAGAAAAACCTTTGGAAATGTTTAAAACTCCACAAAAACACAGTGATGTCAAGTTTTTCTCCAGTGATACATTGGGGTGTCTAACTTTGTCCCAACATAATGGCTTGATGATTACGTTGTTGACAAATCAGACCCCAACAAGTTTTCGTCTTTGTCAAAAACTACTATTTTTTGCAAACTTGTAAGAAAGATGCTAGATGTTTTCTGATTTAGCTGATCTAATTGTGTGACAGAGGCCAAAAAAAAATACACACCAAACTGTTGTAACTAGGATTTATAGTTTGAAATGTGGTTTCAAAGTTAGGTTCCTCAGCTTTAAACTGAAGCATAGATAGATATAGATAGATGTTCTCGTGTGTATTTGACCAGTTCATGATGATATACATATACATTTTTTCAGATATTTTAAGCAAAGAGAGCAATCCTCAATCTTTTTACTTGTCTCTGACTTTTAAAAATATGTGCAAAAACTGAAAAAAATTGCATTTCTAAACCGCCCCCTCCTCCTGAGAGTTGTGCAGTCTCATGGCTCCAGGAACAGCCGCCTAACGCTGATCATGCTATTTTTCTGTAAGTCCAACAGTTTGGATCTTGTGTATGTGTGAGTGTCATTCACAAAATCACATCAGTCAGAGAAGCAGACTGCAGCGACAGCACCACAACATGACTAACTCAACAGTGAGACTTATGAAACAAAAGAGAAGTCTCATACTTTATAGAGATGGTTCAACTAAAATAGGTTAGTATAGATTTAGTATTTTGTGTACCATTTCTCTCTCTTCATTGATCTTGTCCTAAAGTCTCTGTTTTTGCTGCGTCTTTTTTCCTCTGTTTTTCAAATACATAAATCATGTTGGATTTTACATGAATACTTTTATGACTTTAGTTTCTTTCAAGTGACATCAATCATTTTTGTTGCTGTTGAATATTGGCACCACTTTCACAAGCTATTTTACTCTTTTTATAAGCACCATTAAAGTTGTGTAACTCCAGCCAGAACTGTGCACTGAAAACTTCAGCATGTCGCATCTTGAAGAAATGTTGATATTTGCAGCATCTCATTTTCGAGAGGGTCTCAATAAAGGATAAGGGTGCTGACTTATGCAGCCGGGGTTAAACTAACAAACCATCACGATAAGGTTCAGGTTTACTTTACTTGTAGTGGACGGACATTGCATCTCATTCATTCCAATACATTCAGTCAAATACATGCACACGTTCCCTCTATTCATTAAAGCAGTGTTTTTCAACCTTTTTTGAGCCAAGGCACACTTTTTCACTGAAAAAAATCTTGCGGCACACCTCCAGGAGAAAATGTAAAAATGTATACAGTACTAATGTAAAAATATATACTGTACATACTCTGTGTGATATATAAAGTATATCTTATCTTATCTTATAATGTATACTGTATACTCTGTAGCCTATATTCACAATATACAGTTATTCTCATCAAAATGCTTAAGTCCAGGCCTTGACATTAAGCTTTATTTAATATTTCTCGATACAATTAACAAGAGTTTGGGAATAAAGTGGCACTGACTGTGTGGAAAAAAATAAAAGAAAAATAAAAGAAAATCCACTCTCTGCCCATAGTCAAATAATAACTCACACAAAGAACATGCATTGTTAGTGCATGGGAAAAATTTAGGTATCCGAGCTTTAAATTCAGGAGTTTTGGATGAGGGACACGGGAGGTCCTGAACGCGAGTCCATGGTTCTGTCCGGTCCGCATGTCTGTGGTTCTGTCCACTCGACTATGGTCTGCGCTCGGTACCCAGTTCAGAAGTGCGTTCACGAGAGCTGTTGTACAAAAATGGTACATTTCATAGTTAAACCACTACAACGCGGCCACAGCTGCCCCGGGGCAGAGCGGAGGATGTTAATCCTGTTCAGAAACGGCATAATTCATTTTCAAAAACGTCTCTATCACTTTCACTTCTCACTCGCCACAAAGCTCTTGTCTCGCTCCCTCCCACATTTGTTGGTCGCATCCAATTTTACCTTTCTCGCCACAATGCTGACCTGAAACTGAAAAATTGGATGCGACCACTGGCTGTCAGTGGTCGCATCCAATTTTTCAGTTTCAAAGTACTTAGCTATCTGCTGCCATCTACTGATTTGAAAAAGTATTACATGGTTACTCCACAGTTCAAAACAAGTCACCGCTCGTCAACAGCGAATGCAGTTATTTTTAGACAAAGTAGACGAATTTCTCACGGCACACCAGACAATATCATACGGCACACTAGTGTGCCGCGGCACAGTGGTTGAAAAACACTGCATTAAAGGGGTCCCTCTGAATGTATGCATGGCTTTTTACAGCTGCAGCAGCACTCAGGCTTGTAACGTACATGTTTGATGGTTAGATAAGTGTACAAAGTGTGTGTTCGTGTGTTAGGGGTTTTACAGCCTTAAAAACATAACTGCACTTGTGAAAAAAGTGTTGCTTTAATCAAAAATAAAAAAATATTGTAAGCGGTTCCATGGCCCTTTTTGTGTACTGTCAACTTCAGATTTTCATTTTATTTTTGGTAATAAAAAATATCAAATTCAACAGAATGCAAAACTATCGTAACTTTTAAGTGATTGATTTTTTTGGTTAGTTCAAACCAAAACTATAACTTCTACCCCGAGGAGAACTATACGCAAACACACATGCAAACTCCACTCAGACTGGGATACGAACCCAGGACCGTTCGTGCTGAGAAGTGCTAACCACTCAGCCAGTGCTTAATTTAAAGAGCGACTAAACACCAAATCAACTTTTTTTAACTCATAAACTGCATAAGTATGTTTATTGTAGTGCTGTCTACATATCCTTGTCATTTTTTTGACATTTTAGTTCAAATTAGATAAAATATCACTTTTGAGCCAAAAAACGCTGTGTGGTGCCCTCTCAATCTTTTTGGTGGTACTACATTTGAATTTGGTTCTGGCCTCTCCATTGACTCTGAAGTTCTCTATGACATCAGTTGTTTTGTGTGACGTCAGTCTGTCAGAGCCAGTGATGTGAACCCATTCAACTCTCACACACGCCCCAGCTGCAGTTTGGAGTATTCTGGCGCCATCTAGTGGATTAAAATTAAATTACATGAGTCATTCTGAGATTATTGAGTGTGATTAGGTTCAGATGTGTAGCTTTACAATTATCTTAGTGTGTAAACAAGGGTGGAATGAGACTTTCTGGTCTGTAAACTATTGCTTTAAGCATCAATGACAACTGTCTGTTTTTTTTTTGTGTGTGACAAGTGAGCTGTCAATCGAGGCCCAGACCACGCCCAACTCTAAGCCCCCCTTCTTGTCCCTTGGTCCTCCAGGCAACGCCCTTTTTAGAGAACATTTTCAAATCTTCATGTGGGCAGAGTAAGGCTGGGCACAGGTGTTTAGTCGCTCTTTAAGCGGGTGAGCACATTGACCCTTACCTAGGATTTGGACAATTTGAACCCAACACATCATTAGAAGTGAAATTGATACATTTAAAACAATATGTTTAACTATCTAAACAATATCACTAAAAAACACTACACATTTTGTTTTCAGAAAAATCAACCAGAAAATAATGTCACATTAAAGTCATGAAAATGCCTTCATCATAAAAAACAATTGTAAGAAAAGGAAATCCCTTCTATTCTTTCGGCCCCCGATCAGTAGCTATATTTTTTGTTCGGCTCCCCAACTAAAAAGAGTTTAGTCAGGGACCGAATTTACACGATACTAAAAATATTCAACAATATGCATTCTTTGAAAAAAATGAAATATAATTGAAGTTACTGACATGTCCTTCAAAGTTGTTCTGATTTGTCTCATGACATTATGGACAAGTGACAAATTCCTCTGTCAAAAATATATATTAAAAAGTAGCAATTCTTCCCCATTATTGCACCTCCCTGCATGAGCCAGGATGCCTGCAGTGGAATGGGAGAAAAACTACTTCAATCATAAAAGCGGGACTATAAACGGCCAAATGACGGATCACACTTTGAGCAGCACCCATCTTTGTGAGCATTGGGATCATGTAATTTATCCCCAGCTCCGGAGATGAGATATTTCACCTCCCGTTTGTGGACAGCTTTTTAACCACTCCTGTCATTGTGGGCGCTGTAGACATTAGCTTTGCCTCATGTCGAAACAGGCTTGAGTATTCTGGTACATGGTGTGATTTGTAAAAAAAAATCAACATTCACGGCGCAGTGTTTATTTGGATGTCGGGAGTGAAGATGGAATACAAATTATATTATATATTTACTTTAAAGCCAATATAGGGGATGCTTTGAGTTACAATTCCTAATCGTGCAGCCCCACATTTTCAAATCAGCAGAAAAAATTACAATATTATGTGTATGTTTCATAAATTATAAGCAGTGCTATGTAGTGATGTGTATCTTATAACATTTAAGTGTCCCCTTGTTTTTTTAAATCAAATAAGACGCTATTGCTTATTATCTATCCTGCATTTGCACTAAATATTTCTGCTGCCCTTAGAACCAATAATTAGGGATATTCTAAAAAATATATATAAATGTTACTATCAATATGTTTTCATATTTGTATATTTTGGAATGCCGACTCTCTGTCCGTCACCATCCACTCACTAACTCCATTACGATCAAGCCTATTCTTAATGCTTTTAGTGTTAGAGGAAACCGGAGCACCCAGAGGAAACGCTCCCCACGCACACATGGGAAGAACATGCAAACTCTGTACAGAAAGGCAGTGTCTGGAGGTGGAATTTAACGCAGGATTTTATTGCTGTGCCACTCAGCAACACAGGGGCTGAGTGGATATTACTCTTGCTTCTTCTGGGTTCGAATCCCGGTCGGAACAGGGCCTTTGAATGGAGCTGGCATGTTCTCCCTGTAGCTGCATAGGTTTCCTCCGGGTGCTCCAGTTTCCTCTGAGTGCTCTGGTTTCCCCTAACACTAAAAACATGCACAATAGATGGAACAAGTGAATGAGTGAATGGATGGTGTTGGTACGGGCTTTGATGAAAATGAATTTATGTTATTTTATTTATTTCAGGCAAACACAGGAACACAACAGTTACTATTTTCATTAAAAACATCTATAACAAAATCAAAAAATAAATTTTGCCTAAAAGAGAGTGGGAAGAAGAGAACTTATTTAATCCCATCCCATTAAATGAAGCGATTTGGGTGCCCTTGGTCTGCAAAAATACCTATTTAAATAAAGATGAATTTATTGACTCCTTATTAAATTAATCTTTAAGAAATGAAATGTATTGCATCGGTAGTGTTGTTGAAACTTTTTCTTTTTTTTAAGGGGGGGCGGAGCCAAAAGCCTTCACTTTCTACAGAACCATGTCAAATCGTATAATAATTTTGCTTTTTGTTTCTGTATCTAATTATTTTGACCTTGCATTATGACTGTTTTTATTGTTTATCATGCTGACTGTGCAGCGCTTTGTAAACACTGTTTTTAAAAGTGCTATATAAATAAAGATTATTATTATTATTATTATTATTATAATAATATATTTAATCAAAATGTTACGAAAGTCCCCATACGTATTTTGTCATCCATATCTACAGGCTCTGAAAGATACCTATACATAGCCCGACCAATAATCTTAAACGAACCACTTCAATACCTCAACCTTGTATGAACAGTCACTACAGCTACCCTTGACTTTGTCCTAACATATAACAGCTATAAGTGCTCATAAAACATAATATTGTAAATGTCAAGGGCTGCATTTGAACTCGCATCTATTCCTCCACAACATCCGCCTACGCAGACGTATCCCATATACAATTACAGCACATTAACATCAGGGCTGCAGCTTCAAGGGCATCCATCTTCAAAACTTGCCTCTCCTTTTATTACTGTGGTATGTTACTGTAAGAAAAAAATAATAATGAAGAAAAAATTAGAAAAGAGAGCGTGAGAGAAACCTCTGGAGCCTGAGTCTAATGAGAAGTGTGTGGGCGATGGAAAGAAGAGAGGAGGAGATGTATGTGCGAGTTACAAAGGGAAAGACAGAGACGGATGAGAAGACGGGGCTTGTAAGGTAATTAAGGTTGGTATTAACGAAACGAGAGTGCTGTTGTGGGCAGGGAAGACAAGGCGAGAAGGCGGAGGCCACAGGAGCCCAGTTTTTCCGAGGAACAAGTCCGTGCTGTGATGCAGGGCTTAGATCATTCTCAAAAGTTCACGTTTTTGAGATGACCTTTGGAGAGACGACTGAAGCCTTGGCTGCATCAGGGCTCCAGAGTGAAATCCTTTTGGGTGTTTGTACTGTACGTGCACCCAGAATTTTGGCATTTGGGTAGTGCTGTTGTTGGGCCAATTCAAAAAGAGCACACCAACACATTCTTGATAAGGTGCACACTCAAAAATAACACTCAAAAGATTAAGAGGGGAAATTTCAGTGTGGCGGTATATTCTAGTGCAAGAAATATATAATTGTAGGTATACTGTACATCTTATAGCAGCGTGAGGGCCTGGGACAAAGTGACACAGTAAAGTGGCAGTTGACACATATTGCACAGATCCAGGACATAATGAGGTAAGGATGCCAGTGACAGCAGCAGGAAGGAGAGACCAGTGGAACATCTCCTTCACACAGTGTGGCTGGATCAGTCACTGACAGTGTCCTGCAGGGGGTGACGGTCCTGGTCCATCATGGAGCCTTCTGTATCCTTCTTTTCTCTTTCTTTGAATATTCTTCTAAAAATTCTAATATTGTTCAATAGTCCACTTACTTCACTGATTCAACTGACAATATGATGCTAATGATTATGACATACCCACTACACGCAAAGTGACATATATCAATCCTTTATTTGTTACAGTGTTGAGTTCATGGCTCCAAATAAAACATCTCACAAACTGTGAATAATTTCAGAATGCCATAAGCATCTAAATGATAACAAACAAAGGCTTGGCATATGTCCCAATACGTTTTTATAATTCACCTGCTCTTGGTATTGATCCAAAAGGCAGTGTGGTCTCCCTCCTAATTCTGGGACTTTTTATTAGTTTGTGAAAACACAACAGCAACAAAAAAGTGTGGAATGTGGAAAATATCATGCTTCAAAAACGCTCTCAGTGCCATCCATTTTCTACCCTTTAATCCATTTCTGGGTCAGGGGGGTGGCAGTCAGAGATGCCACCCAAGTCTCATAGCACCAGCCCCTCACTGACCCTCTGCAGGTGGTGAGTCCACAGGAGGACGGCTGCTCTCTGAGTGTGAGCATAGCCTTGATCTTTCAGTGGGGGCTTTTGGGCAAAGTGGGGTTAAGTGTCTTGCCCAAGGACACAACGACAGCAGTCATCAGTGGGAGTCGATGGAGAAGGTGCAGAGGTGGGAATTGAACCCACGACCTTCTGGCCTTAAGGCCAATGCTCTACCAACTGAGCTACTGTCGCCCTATGCTCTCCTCGTGGCACTTGACAATATGTCAAGTGCCACGAGGATGCTCTCAGTGCCACGAGGAGGAATTCTACTTCCATCAAATCTGCATCAGTCTGAAATGCCGCTCTGACCACAGGCAAACTTGATTTTGAAGTTTAGAAACATCATTCATATTTAATATGAAGGGAACCTTGCTGCGAAACACAGACTGTAATAAGGCAATATTTCCTTAAGACTTTTCGGGAAATGCTCTTTTTAGTCATTGATACATTGTATGGATCAGAAATCCATGATCTCAAGATAAAATGGAGGAAATTATTACAAGAAGGGGATCATTACAAAGTTATAGAAGTTCTAATGTAGATAAAACACAAAACTGTTCTGTCTGTGGAATATGCTGTACTTACTTGTACTTGCTTGGTAGTAACTTTTTAGTAGCAATTAAAGCTGGGGTACCTATCATTATATCCCATAAACGATACATTTCCTATGTGTTCCAATCAAATGAGTGTTTGTAAAGTAAAATGTGAACACTTTTGCACACTTGTAAGAAAGAGCCCTGAAAGTTTTGTGCTGAGTGAAGAAAGTTCACTCTTTTCCCATTGTCTGTCTATAAAAGCTAATACGACAACAATACATTCATGTGAAAATGGCAATGGAATAAAACTGTTCTGAGAGGAAGGAACTAGTTTGATGAACTTTATCACACCGTTCCAGTTTTGTAGGTTGAAAGTTATGAAACCCAACTTTAACATTTGATTTTTGCTACTTTTGACAACCCTAAAATGTTCTATTGAATGTGTGTTTTGTGCTTTAGAGACGCTGCTATCTGCGCCGCTGAACGTGACCATACGCGAGATCGAGGTGAATTCGGCTGTGGTCACGTGGGAGATCCTGGAGGGGGACCCCGTCATCGGATTCGCCATTACACAGCAGGTGAATGGATATTTCATATTTTAAATATTTCATTTCATTTAAATATTCATCTATAATTCCCACTATTATCAGGTGGGATCTCATTTGTAAAACAGGAATTGTGGTTTAAGGCTATCTTCCATTATTAAAGACTGCCACCACCTTTTTACAAATACACGTCCTAATTAAAATGCTTTGCGCTTTTCCACAGGGCTTTCTTACATTTATTTATAGATATGTTAAAATGGCACAACACAACTTGCCTTCTGTTCAAACTAACAATATCCCCTGACACAAGAGTGCAGTAATAATGCAGTAATAATAGAGAGAATACACAGTGATGACTTGACCTAGCTTGTCAGTACGATAACTCATTACAATCAAAGTTAGACACACCAAGCTTTTATTTTAGAATATTGATAATTATGGCTCACAGCGTGTAAAAAAACCGAAAACAAACATCTCAAAAATTGGGAATAATTTCAGAATGGACTTTAAGCCAAAATCATCAAAATGATAACAAACAAAGGCTTGGCATAAGTCACTTTAATTATTTATTTATTTATTGATCAGTCGATATATTAGGCAATTTTTTTTAGCTCTTAAAATATCCACTTCTTCCCGTAATGGACATTTTTTACCATGGCGTTTTGTCCCTCATGTTAAAGGTAAATTTCCCAAGAAAACAGCAACACATTTATTTTACTCTACAACAATATATTTTACTATAAATAATCATCCCAAAGCCAAAGCATAATTAGTAATAAAAACAACTGTTTGTAAATCAGTTCACAGTCCAACTCTGTTTAAATCCTATACTAAACTATATTGGATTATATTAATAGAAAACATTTTTTTTTTACAAAGTTAGAATTTGTTGCAAAATACCTCCTTTATGTGGAAAAATAAATACATAAGAATATCCACATATGCAAAAGATACAGTATGCACCAAACTTCCATATACATTAAAACTGCATATCTTCCTCTCGTCTTACAAAACATCTGATCTGCTAACTAGCACATTAGCAACAACCCCTATCCCCTGTACATTTGAAACCTTAATTTCCTAAAACTAACTCATCCTTTATAAGCAAACAGCCATTGTTTAGTCAAAATAAAAAATCAAATGAATGAAGTTTTGTTGGAATAATTGTATTATTCCAGACATCTCCTGCCTCTCGGGTCCTGGACTGCTCTCAGCTTCCTCAAGGCAACTTTTCACTGTCTGTAATGAGCTTGAATTATTGTCATTCTCCACCCACAAATTGCATAACAATCGTCTAACTATTTTTCTGTTGTCTTGTGTATGTACAGTGTTATGTTTTCGTGCTGCCGTTTCAAAGGCTCAGAGAAGTTGTTCTTTAATTGTGCGGTAAATAATGCTGGCCCTGGGAGATCCCTTGGGCTCCAATTGACCTGAGGCAGCAGTCCAGGCCCGATAACAATGTAGGTTTTCACTGGAGCCTTATGTGGCCGCTGAATTACTGCTTCTTTTAGCATAATTAGACCGTACTAAAACTGTGAGCTGGCTGAAGTTTTCCTCAAGCACTTAACCAAAAGAGTTTTATCAGATAGGGCAGAAGGGAATCGCTTTGGAGCCGTTGGAAGTGTGCAACTATTTACAATAAGGACGTTATATTGTGCTGTGCTCTTAAAGAAAGGTCACGTCTGTAGAGCGTGCGCCTGATGCATCAATTCAACGTTCTGAAAGATTGAACATTACTGCTTTTTATTATACGGCTCTTCATAGCAGCAGTAGAACGCCCCATTGATTTGAATGTAAATCCAAAACGTTCAACCGGTCATTTTTTCTTGATAACAGACCTCTCAAACCAATAATGACCGCTGCCATTGGCAATTTGTGCTTGTTATTCTCGTGTGTCAGATCACTCAGCATGTAGTCCGGCCACTTCGTCAGCGAGGTTCTGGAAATAGATAAGGCTAGAATATTTACGCTGGATATTTTCTTTGACTTCAGTCGTAGCAGTTCTCACACTCCTGTTGTTATTGACAACTCCCAGGTGCAGATTGTAGAGGAGTGCAAGTTTCTGGGTTTAACTCTGTCTAACGACCTGAAATGGGTTAAAAACACTGACCGGGTTGTTAAGAAAGCTCGTCAGCGGCTCTTCTTTTTGCGGAAACTTAGAGAATTTACCACTAACTCTAAGATTCTGCTTAACTTTTATCGCTGCACCATTGAGAGTTTACTTGTTGGTTCTGTGTCTGTGTGGTTTGGAAACATCACAGATAAAGAAAAGAGAGCTTTAAACAAGGTGCTCCGCTCTGCAAAGAGGACCGTGGGCTGTGAGCTTCCTGTTCTGGAGGTTCTTTACGAATCCAGACTTTTAAACAAAGCTCTTAAAATCATCGGTGACTCTTCTGGCCACCCTGGGAAAGCCATGTTCCAGCTTCTTCCCTCTGGCAGAAGATACCGGTCACTGAGATGCAAGACATCTCGCTATGCTAACAGCTTCTTTCCACAGGCTGTTAGGTGCCTAAACAGAGCATTTTAATTCCTGCTTTTACCCCTTGTATTGTTTTGTTGATCGGTGCCACAGTGTCAGCTGTTTTTTTATTATTTTATATTCAGTGTATGTGTATTTATATTACATTGTATCGTGCTTTTTATTCTGTCGGTGCACACAGAGTACCTCTTTTTGCAAATGTATTCCAATGTAGTTTTTATACTGCACATGGCCAATAAATGAATCTGAATCTGAATCTGAATCGTTCCTGAGGTTACCGGGAGTCCGACATTCAACTTACCTAGAGATACACCACCATTCCTCATCTCCAACGCTAGTAAGTAGCTAGCCTAGCTGTTACTCACCTAGCCACGCATCGCCTAGCCAACCCCGCGTCTGGGTTCGCTTCGACCTGTCGGTACTTATTTTCCGACCTGCGTTCTACACATTATCCCTTACATATGAATATTGTTTACAGTACTTGCTGGACTATAAGTGGCTACTTTTTTTTTTAACCCTGCCGCCCATATGTTTGGTTCTATCACTAGTAAACATGTATTTAGCTTTTTTGGTGGAAAAGAGAGCACCGTTTCTCACTCAGCCAATCAGATCTCAGTAAATAAAAGATTTTATTTTAAGTTTAAAGTAATAAAGATAGCATTTTGTGGTCTGATGTTCACAAAATGTTACTGAGACAAACACCATGTATTCATGAAACCAAAAGTTAGAGATAGGTACGCCAGCTTTAACAGAATTTGACTGTAGTTTAAAGTTCTTCTAATATTTGTGAATTAGTTAGTTAAATAACTAAAATTAAAAAAACACAATTTCATAGATATAAATAACCCCCTCTCCCATTCAACACAAGACTAGACAGGACAATTTGAGTGAAAAAAAGACATTTGCTAAAGTATAACCGTTACACATATAGTTACACCATAGAACATACACACAAACAATACAATACAATATCATAAACAATATACGTATAATATCTCAGACATGACACAGGCCCAAACACTCTCTGACCCTACACCTCTTTCCTATTGCACTGCACTGAAAGCCTTTCCTCCATGTACTTCTTCAGGGATTTGTTTAAACAAGTTCTTCCATGTGTGATGAGCAGAGCGAGAGAACTAAATGAATAAATCCCTCCTCACGGCGCTTTCTCTTTCTGCTATTGTCCTGTGCGCAGAAGAAGGACGTGCGGATGCTGCGCTTCATCCAGGAAGTGAACACCACCACGCGCTCCTGTGCCCTGTGGGACCTGGACGAGGACACCGAGTACATCGTGCACGTGCAGAGTGTCAGCATGGGAGGCAGCAGCCCTCCCAGTGAACCCGTGCTCTTCCGGACGCCCAAGGAGTCCGAGAAACTGGCCTCGCAGAGTCCAGGTGAGGACCGCACTCTGGAGGTGTAGCCGTAGGAGGGTAGATGATGTTCGATTCTCGCTCTTAGCTCAGAAAAACATTCAATTCAATTTGATTTATTCTTGTATAGGTCTAAATCACAACAGTTGTTTCATCTTGTGAAGCCCTAATCACAACAGTAGTTTATTCTTGTATAGGCCTAAATCACAACAGTAGTTATCTCGGAGGACTTCACTAAACTTTTGGATAGCCAACACAGATCAGAGAATCAACAGTTCAATACAAGAAATGAAACCATAAAAACACATAGAGCCATTGGTCCATAAGGGGCAGATGACCAATGCCCATAAATGATAATAAATGTCCATAATAAACATTTACATTTCGCCATCAAACACCATATTAAATGAAAGACCACAGCTAAGTGCATTTCATTTGGTTAATACATATTCATTTTTAGCTCAGTTATCTTAGTTTCTTTGCTTGGATAATACATTTTCACATTTTCATAATTCACATTGATGATAAACGTATAATATGTCAGTTTGACAAAGCATGGAAACTAGTTAGTGTCTTTCACGTGACGTTACCTTGGAGCCGAAGCATGATAGGGGCGACAACCATGGGCAGAAACTCCGGTAGAACCAGGAAGTACGGCAAGCGGGAGACGTTAAAAATGTGTAGCAGTTTTTATTCTAGTGATGGCAATATGAAGCCCCATGAAGCCTTGAGGGATAGCAGCCTATTACTCGGCCCATGAGTCGAAGGCTCAAGGTGAATCATGCTCCACTACGCCATCATGTGGACAAAGAAATACATAACACTCTTAAGTGCTTACAATGAATGGTGAGATCTAATGTTAAAATGTATATTTACAATCTATGGTCTAACGTGTTGTGTTTGAAATGATGCTTCATGAACTATGAACTATTTGAGTGTTTCAGTCAATTGTGTTGATACAACAAACACATCCAAAGTAATACAGTTCTACAGAAAGTGATTAATGGAGGAAAAACTACCAAGAGGTGGATTAATTAAACACAACAAACCATTTATTCCCAATAAATAAATACATTTACTTTGCAACACAAAATTTATTATGGGTAGACCGGGATTCGAACGCTATATCTTTTGCTTCGGAGTCCGTCATATACCAACTGCGCCACACAGCTGTTGTGAAATGTATTATCCAGCGTATTATTACTAATAACTTGAAGCCTTGGTATATGAGGTTTTACTAAAGTGAAACGTTTTTAATTGTATTTCATATGAAGTAGTTTCTCTATACTTAGTACAGGACTGCTCCACATCACGCACACACACGTACGCACACACACGTACGCACACAGAGGCAGACGGGGACAGCCATACAGTCTATGGTACAGCCGCGGATCACAAAGCACCTGTCAAAGCAATGCACTCTCCGAACTATATGAAGCACTATATGAACCGTCACGTGGTGCGGCCGCTACGCGAGGCTTCGAACGTCACCACACACGTGACCAATACACGCCTCGACCCACACTTCACAAGAAACGCCCCCAGATTACTCGGTCCACGCTTCGAAGACTCGGTCCGCTCAGCACATCACTATTTTATTCTAGTCTACTGCCCCCTACTGCCTGGTATACCTAAATACTAATAAAAGCATGCGTTGTCACAAAGGCTATTATAGTTTGTGTATTATTTCAACAAGCAGAATCCCAATTACATTTGTCTAAAAAGTGCATATCTCAACTGTCTAGATTCTGGGCTCAGGTGAATTTATTCGTATACCCATGGGCAGGATTGTTTGGCAGCAGTGACAGCAGGTTTGGCATCGCTATAGGACAGGGCACAGGTTCAAAACATACGGTACTTGGTGGAATAGCTGTGAAATGGCACTTTGTTGGGATCTAAAATACATTGAAAGTTTCATACAGAATCGTGAATATCTTAGAATCTATACGTACCTATTATTTCAGTGATGATGTTGCAAAAACAGATCACCTGGTGCGTCTGTGTTGGCCTGAATCTGTCGGTCACAGTCATGATATATAACGCTCAACATGTTGGTTCCCTTGCACCAAAACGCACTGAGTTTACATTACTGCAGAAGACAACACATTTTTGATTTGAACTACATTTGATATATTTCTTTTCTTTTTTTAAGTCAAGCTCATGGATCAAAGAAACAGCCTTTACCGTAACTGTTATATGCTGTAGACATCATATTGAAAAAGCATTTGGGCTTCATTCTGCTTTCTGATGCATTGAGTAAGCCCAATCCCAACACATTTCACATTTTGAACATTTATTACCACACAAAGGGGTATTGTGATCACCTCTGTGTGTATCTATCTCTGTGTGTCAGTCAGTAGGCTAGATTTTGCAAAAACTGCTTGCTGTATGGAGCTGAGATATGGTGTGTAGGTGAGATTTGATGCTATGACTGCTACTTTTTCAGTGAGGAAGCTGAAGATTACAAAAAAGACATTTACATACATATTTCATTTATCTTACATTTTGGTGATTTCAAAGTTAGGTACCCCAGCTTTAAATCAACCAAATTGATAAACAGGTTTTTTTATTCAACTTTGGAAAACTTGCTTGCCATGCACGGATCTGACTTTAACCTTTCTTCTACCAAGCCGCCTGAAAGTCTCCATATAGATAGATTGTTTTTCTTGTTTTGTATTCTAAATTTGGATATGGGCGCCATACACATAAAAACTACATATCTTACTTTGCATGAATAAGTCTGACTCCAAATCATATATTGGTTTTACATTGAATGTGAACATTGAACTAATTTCCCGAGTTTCACCTTTGATTATCACTATAACACATGGACAGAGACAGATACATTGCTCGAAAATAGCCTCACTGTAATTGACTTTTTAAATCCAAGTCTACAGAAATCTCACCGTGCTACTTCACTCTAAGATGAGCTAGAAATGATATCATCTGACCACAGGGCTTTCCTCCCTCTCTCCGGTCTCAATCACTTGTGTTGGTCATAAAAAATTCAGAAGGACCAGGGCTGTGTGAGCAAAGGCAGTGGTAATAACAGTGTCAGGGCTGATTAATACCAGTTTAAACAGAGAGAGGAGAGCCGTAATGGCACGCAGATCTAATCAGACACATAATGGATGCCCTCATAAAACATCCATATAGAGAACTTCCATCAAAGTTAGAGTGACTCACACCGCAGGCTACAGCAGATGCAAATGGGTGTTGAAAATTGTGCTCCAGATGAGGGGAAGGGGGGAAAAGTCAAATTGTTTCTTGGATCATGTCGCTTCTTGTTGCAGGAAATGTTCTGTGCTGGATTTTGATATAGTTTTTCTAGTGCTAAAATTGAGTGTATAGTTTGTTTGAAATTCCCTGCCTTTTAGTACTTTAGCACGGTGGCTGAGTGGTTAGCATTAATGGGTTCGATTCCGCCTCCATAGAGGGCCTTTCTGAGTGATTTTTGCATGTTCAGTGTTTGTGTAGGTTTCCTCCGGGTGTTCCAGTTTTCCCTACTTCTACAAACATGTACAATAGGTTCCCTCACTGCAAAAAAATGATAAATTATGAGGTAATGAATGCTTTAATTAGGTGATCTTAATTTGAGTACTTTCTGACTTTCTGATGGTCTTTAAACAAGATTCGCCACTGGGACATTGTCTTATTTCAAGAAATATTGGTTTGATTTATCATTCCAAGTGAGACATTTCTTGTATATTTTTTTATCATTTTGCTTGTCCCATCGGCAAATCTTGTCAGAATGTGCTCAAATTAAGATACATTAAGCCAAATTTGAGCCATTTGTAATTTATTTTCATCACTTTTTTGCAGTGCTCTTTCTGAAGCCAGTGGGTTAAATGTTAAATAAAGGTAAATAAATGATAAAACCATTTGCACATGGGAAGGAATTAAATGTTGATCAGAAGCTAAATCTGTTAAAAATGAGCTTTTGACAATGTAAAAGTGTAGTTCCATCATTAAAAAGTTGTTCTTTTTCATTCCACACACACTATAGCATCAATCAATATGTATTTGTACAGAACCCCTCCGGTCTGTTCCGCATCACTCATCTGATTTGTGCAAAGAATGTTTCTGTTTTTCTAGACAAATGTATCGTCTCTTGAGTTTCCTTGCAGCCAATACTCCATATTGGGCTTTAGACATATTTCAAATGACACATGAATTGCCAAAATTAAGACATTTACTTTTGAAACCGAACTGTATTGAGGAGTATCAAAACATTGGCATATTTTACTGCTGCATTGGCAAATAATACAGAAATGTGTGCTGTGTAAAGATAGATAGATAGATAGATAGACACATAGATAGACTCCTTGGTATGACTGTGCCACTTCGATGTCTTGTCCATGACCAGTTGATGAAGGACTCCCGTGAAAGTCAATGATCACCTCCTTGGTCCTGGACGCATTGAGAATCAGACCATGTCGCCGGTGGTTTTACACTGCGATTTTGAACTCAAGCCCTTTTGTACAAATTGTGCTTAACGATTAAACTTGGATTTCATGCGGTCGACTTAAACTGGGCAAAAGATGAAATATAGAATGCATAACTAGGCTGCTTGTTAATACCATTTTGTTTATGTGTTGCGTTGACATTTGTTGAATTGATGATTAGTTGATTGTGTTGTTGCGGTGCTTAACAGATTCAGCTATGTGGATACATTTCCTCTCTGATTTGTGTTCATTAGTATTCATCACTGTGGTATTTTCACTCTCATTCAGACTCATTAAGTTTATGAGTGAAAGTTTGGCTCCATTGAAAGCCTGTATAAAGCCCGTCTATGCCTCATGCTATAGTGGGGGCCCTCAAATCAAAGTTAATAGATTTTTTGGCCCTAGTTTGGCTTTGCATTTTCTCTCTAGAGCAGTCGTTCCAATAAAAAAATAAAACTGCACACTTCACATTTGAGCTATGGTAGTATTTTGCTTTGCATTTTTATTACCATATTTTTCCTCTACATATTTTTCCTCTATCTGGACAGATTGATGGAGCAGGTCATGAGAGCTGAGATTGTTATGTGTCACAGAACAGCACCAAAACACTGCATCATATATTTTACGCACTGGAAAGCATTATTATGGATAGGGCTACAGTATGTGAATGAATAAAATAACGAATGAATAATCCCCTTTATCCGTTCTAAAATTAAAGTGGAATTTGATGAGAAAAATCACTCACGCTCTTAGTTTCGCAAATAAAACTGTTACTCATATGGATTTTTAATAAGACGTTTTGTGCAATTGTGTTAAACTGAGCTGGTCATCATATTTCCGTATTTTGACCTCAATAACTATGGACATTTGTCAACACTTATGGACATTGGTCAACTCCCCCAATGCACCGAGACCAAAAAGACTCTGATCTGTGTTGGCGATTTCAACAGTTTTGTCAAGTCCCCTGAGATAACTATACTGTTGTGATTTGGGCTGTACAAGAATACCTTGCATTGAATTGACTTTTGATTGATTGATTGGTGGATGGATTGATTTTATTCATTCGAGCAGAAATTTTACAATATTTACATTCCTTAGTTTACATGAGTTTTTGTTGCCTTCTGTGTTTACAGTACAGTGTTAATACTTTTACATGCAAATATATAAACATAACTATACAATCAAGCAACAATAATTGCCCTTATATTTCACCATTTTTTATATATCTATATCTACAATACCATTATGTATTTACAAATGAACATCCATCTACAATTTGTCAGCTCAAAATGAAGCGGGATGGAAATAAAAACTTAAACATAAACATAATTCAAATACATAATTTTTTTTTTGTCATTTAGCATTGAATAGATAACACCTTTATAATAATGTTGTCATGTTCGGGGTGATTTAATACGTTAATAAAGCTGAATCTGAATGGACTTGGTATAAAACACGTGAACGCTGTGAATACACTTAACTGTGGTGTAACTTTCCTTCACTTATTCACGTTGTTGCCCAAGGGAACACAACAACATGATGACTAGTAAGAACAATAGAAATCTGCGCATACACTGATAGGACACAAGAGCAGGACCAGTTGCGATTTGAGGATTATAAAGACATTGTGCGATCATGTTGACCAATTTTTACTCAGTTTGATTTATCGTAATGCTTTGCTCACGTTGTTTCACTGTTGAATAAACCATATATAGTCCATACTCGGTACAATGGTGGTTAGTACTCTCAGCAAGAAAGTCCTGGGTTCAAATCCTGGTCGGAACAGGGCCTTTCTGTGTTGAGTTTGCATGTTATCCCCGTGTCTTCGTAACATTCCCCTACCACTAAAAACATGTAAGTAAAATCCATCAGCTCGGAATCCTGACCAAACCGATCTAGAGATTGGCCCAGTGGTTGCCGCTGTACGACTGGCCCAAGTGGCATTTCAGGATTGGTCAAAAATGCAGAGTACAAATTTCTCTATGGGGCCAAAAGAGACTTGACATGATTAGACATTCAACATGAAGACCTGGTATCTGTAGAGCCAAAAGTGCGACTCAAACCAGACATCACACCAACCATACTGTAAAATACTCAAAAAGAATCAACTCGTAGAATCTATCAGAAGACCAAACGAACCATTCATAATTCTGGTTTAGAAATATGGCTCCTATTCTCCAATCACTCTTGCTGATGCTCAAACAGTCACATCAGCCTCAGATCTGCGCAGATTGATAAATTACTTCTAGATCACTCGAGCAGAACATCGACACACCAATAGCACGAGAACAGGAGGCTGAAAGCGGCTCACATTAGAATGCTTTGTGAATGATTGAAGCAGACCATATGTGTGTGACCGTATATACATATATCTGACCGCCGTGTAGCGAATCTTAAACATGTCATGGGCCGCACGCCTGCAGAGACCAGGCCTTTCTTGCTGATTACAAATGCAAAATACTACTCAACACCGACTCTATGGGGATCGTGGAAAGCAGCAGGTCATGGCTTTGTTTCTATGTGTCAAACTCGATGTGAAAAATGGAGTAGCTGCTGCAGGAGATAAGCTCGGTCTGCACGGCGAGGAAAGACAATGGGAGGTATAGGGGCCCTTACAGAGTGCCACGGTACAAGCTGATTGGATTAGGGAGTGAATATGCTCCGTAGACTCTGCGAGGGCCACAAATGGAATCGCGCGTAAATGTCGCCATGAATTGTGTATGTGGGTTTGATAGGGTTGGACCATGCATTCTCTGTGTACATATACACTCTTTGTGATAAAGCATGAACAGATTTATTACTTTTAAAGGTCGATAAAATGTAAGAACAAACACATGATGATGTTTGTGTCTGAAGCTATTCATTGCTGTTATACGTGGAAGGAGGGCTGAGCGAGTTAGGAAACATATTGCGATGTTTTTGAACAGTATTGCAATTTTCTACGTCCTGTTTTTGGTGTAATTTGTGAATGTGTAAATATTCATTGTACTATTCTATTCTATGTATTATGCTTTTGGTGGTTTATTTGAAGCTGTATGACAGATTGTGTCCCATTAACACTAGAACTCACAGAGTAGTCCTTTTGACTGCTCCCATTGACCGCTTTCCACCAGTTTTGATAAATGTTTGTATTTCATAAGGGTTTACCTTTACTCATTTGTGTTAAGTGCTAAAACTGGTGTAGAGGCGAAGAAGTTGGGTATAGATCGCCTCTTGGCTACTAAGATTTTAAGGGTTTCCAAAACACGTGTCTCCATAAACCACAGTCCAAATAGTGTATTAGAGGTTTCTTTATTGGCCCTATGACCAGTAATCCACATAAACATAATACATTCCACAAGTGATTGACACGGTAAGAAATGGTTTACCTCCAAACCTAGCAAACCTGACACGCACACTTTGGAGAAAAGCAGTTTTAGAGAACTACTCACATTTAAAAAATAAAAAGATAATTTCCATCCATTATCTTACATTTACATTTACATTTCATATAAATCCATTTTCTACCCTTTAATCAATTTCTGGGTCAGGGGGGTGGCAATCAGAGATGCCACCCAAGTCTCATAGCACCAGCCCCTCACTGACCCTCTGCAGGTGGTGAGTCCACAGGAGGACGGCTGCTCTCTGAGTGTGAGCATAGCCTTGATCTTTCAGTGGGGGCTTTGGGCAAAAAGATAATTCCATCAAATTAATTTCATATAAATAAACAACGTATAGATACCAAAAAAATCAAGTTGGACACACCATAAATGTACATGAGCTGAGTTTCCAAAAACAGTCACAACCGTCCACTCAGAGCTGAGCGTCTGGGTGGAAATAGCATCATGCATTTTAGCACAGCCCTAAAACCGCCTCAAATGCGATAAGTTAACATCCTTCCATAATCTCCTCACAATAACCCGAGCAGAGTCCTTCTCACCGCTCACATGGCTCTAACAGTGTGGTGTGCGCCCCCCGCAGGTGAAGAGGACTTCGCACACGCGGCACAGCTCCGGGCCGGCGAGCTCATCATCATCGTGGTGGTGCTGGTGATGTGGGCAGGTAATCCTCCGGCAGAAAGCACATTTATCACCTCTCAACAGCTTAACAAGGCCCCTGTCCACGGAGCAGAGTCTGAAGGTCCCATTAGGAGACTCAGTGGCAGCAGGGGCCCAGGCTTGGGATGGGTCTAATGTGTGCTCAGTGGATTTCAGACGACAGCGCTAAATTACAGGCTACAACCTTCTCTTCTCTCTGTTGAATTCATTATTGTTTTGCCTTTTACACAGTTCAACTAATATCATATCTTTTCTATTGGTTTCTTCCTTTCATAATGGTATGAAGAGGCGTTGTAAGTAGGTGTTATTGCAAATGTTCTGATTACTAATTGTATGTCATTTCAAAGTGGTGCTTTCTTCCTTCTCAGATTTTTTTTATTGCAGTTGTGTTTTTAGCACAAAAAACAAACATCGAATATTCTTTTTTACTGCATGTTTGTTTTTTCCACAGGTCAAACTAGTAACTCCATAGACGGGTATGTAAAATCAAAAGAAAGTGATATTATTCCGTGGCATTCACAACTGCCTGGAACTAAATTAAATGTGATATAATTTCTTTTTACATTAGTGAACGGAACAAATACAGAATAGATCCCAATTCCACTTCTCAACAAACAAACTCGACACAGTCCAAGTTCCGTGAAGCATTAATACCATTTATCATCGTCACAATGAAAAATGGTCCAAAATGGAATATAATGAAAAATAGATTTATTTGGTTCTTTGTGTCAAGTTAAAACTGGGGAACCCAGAATACATTCCCCCATAATTAATACATTTTGTTTGAAAGACTGGTGTGAAGATTTTGTGAACTCAGACCACAACATGCTGTCTGTATTATCACAAATCTTCTCATATTTTGCCCTAAGAGTCACTATTTGACCCTTTGGGCTATGAGCTGAAAAAGCTGATCTAAACATTTTTTTGAGAGAGAGGAACTAGTAAAAGGGATTTCATTACCTTTATTATTTATTGATTGATTTCAATTGTGGACATGACAATACACAACTTATTACAGTTACATTGTGGTTTGAAAGTTAGGTACCCCAGATACATGTTTAAAGTCTTGAATAAAAGATTTATACCAGATCAACATGTGCTGAGGGCTCTGTGGATAGCACTCTCGCTTCTCAGCAAGAACAGGGCCTTTCTGAGTGGAGTTTGTATGTTCTCCCTGTGTCTGCGTACTGTAGGTTTCCTCCGGGGGCTCCGGTTTCCCCTACCCCTAAAAACATGTACAATTGGACTGACATGTGCCTTCTGTACTGGCAACCCTGCTCCCATCTCTAAGTAGAATGAGAGACAAATGCCCACGACAAAGCGCTTTATGACTCTGGTCTGTGAAAGGCACTATTCAAATAAAAACTTATTATATGCTGTTGAACACTGACAAATCCCATAATGCATATACTGTAACATCAGCAATACAAAATCTCTCTTCCAGTCGGCTACAGACAACCCAAGATCTCCACTTTAGTTTTCTATACGTCCCGTTTCGCACCTGTTAATCCGCCCGCCGTTCCGCTAACCCATTTAACGAGACACAAATATGGCCTGGATACTGTATATAGCATACGCGTTCTGTTCTAGCACCCGCTCCCTGCCAATTACACTGAATGAGCCGTCCATCATTATAGGCCTGTTTTACCCTGCTCAGAACCTCTTGAATCTAGTCTGGTCGTACCATACCATTGTTCTAATTTCATTTTGTACTAAGGTCTGGATTTGCTCATTTGAGCTTTGTTAACAGGTGGGAGGGGTTAACTCCTTCTGAAGATTTGTATCAATTCGATCTGAGTTTTTTCCGTGACGTGTGTAATGCGCCAGAGTGAGTCAGGCCTTTAGAATTTCCAAAATAGAAAATATTTAGGTCTTCCATGAATGCTGCTTAGATTGACAGCAGAGTATATAATCACCTTTATTCATGGCTAGAATTTAGGTGTTTATTCTAGATATGGCATTTGTGACCACAAAAGAATCAGAATAACGTCTTTAAAATGTAGAATAATTGGTTCAACAACAAAAGTTCAGCAAAATCCTGAATTTGTTAGTTTCAATCGTCTTAGAATCCAGCTATTTAAACCTACATTTTCCAACATCACACGGCCCCCTCTTCATGCTAATCGAACAGCTCCTTAACTATTTCTGCAAAGATAGTTCAGTCCTTCATGTTCTTATTTGTCTTTAGCTGCTAATAGATTAGTGTGAAAGTTACCGCTTCAAACAGCCAAATTAGACGTCTGTTAGTTCTGGAATATATACTATATTTCTAGCAATGCACTGTCTCAATAGCACAGACACGATATGAGTGGAATACTAATAATGTGCGTATCGAATTTCATCAGTAATTATAAGCTGGCAACAACTCTCAGAGCTCAAAACTGTAAATAACAATACAATCTACAAGATTGATTCATGTTAATTACACTTTTCACTAAGCTGCATATTGCAAGTTATTCTGTTTTATTAGTGCAATAAAAAGTGATTTGTTATAGAATCATCATTGGCTATTCAGATCCCTTCATATGATAGTTATAGAATTATGAACTAAATCGTTTATTTGGTTCAGTCAAAGTTTTGGTCCCTTTCCACTTTGATATTTTAAATCAGGTATTAAGCTGAATAATGTTTTTTTCAAAGTTATGTGCAAAAACTATGCTACAATGAAAACAAAACAAAGTGACACTAGGACAAATAACTGCATGTTTGACATGAATCAGTCCTTTCATTTCAGACTGATCGTTTACCCCTTGTTTCTTTCATCCATCTTACTGAATTGTGTTCTCTCCTGGAACTCCACCCTCTCTTGTCAATAGCAGACATCCATAGACTTTACCAGCCTGTCTGCAGTTCCAGTGTTGTGCGTGAACGAGTTCAAAAGAACGCGTTCATTGAACACGCTCATTTTTTCGTGAACGTTGAACTGAACGCAACACATTTTTTAAAAAAGAACTTGAACGTGAATTAGATCATTTTATGTGTCATGAACGGCAGACATCACTATGAACGTTGGAATCTGTTTTCTCTTTTGAAACGCAACGAGAGAAAGTTCCTCCCTCCTGTATTCTCGCACTTTTTCCGCCGAAATCTAAAAAATCCTACGGTTTCCACCGTCTGTGAACGAACCCCGACTCCGTGTTGCGTTGCGGCGCTGTGAGCTGGTGCTTTTCACATGTGCCCGAGTCGTGATGAAAACATAGGGTGAGTTAGCGACAAAGTTTACACCGTTTACATTTGACATAAAGTATAGACACACGCACTGCAGCGCATTACTGTCTGTAGTTTATGAGCAGAGATGGAGCAACTCCGTTTGGCTCCCATTGAAAACATGTAAATCTAGTCTGTTTTGTAGTCAAAAGGCTCTCCTCCTGTGGGTGTACAGGAGATATTTACACATATATATATATATATATATATATAGCTCATAGTGTGAAAAAAATATGTATTTAAGTATCTCACGAAAAAAGTAAAATGAACTGAACTTTGAACTAGTTCAGAATTAAAAATGTGAACTTTGAACGTGAACTGTTCACTTTGAGCATGTATGAACTGAACTTGAACTAGTTCAGAAAAGCTGTGAACTGGCACAACACTGTGCAGTTCACACCCTCATAAATTCTCCTCATTTATGTAACTGAGATTTGATCCTCTTGGGAAAAGCAGGAATCCCTCATTTCTGTCGTTGTCAGGCTGGACCACTGTGGCGAGCTGCTGACGGACGCACAAAATATTACGGTAATCATTTGACTAAAAAACTGCTGCAGTAAAACAATCATTAACTTGTCTTTTTGTTTGAAAATGATGAGAAAACCAGTCGAGTGGATTAGGTCCATTGGAAAAAGAAAGTATACCAAAAACCCTTGCTCTGAAAACTAAATAATTTTAAAGTTATAAGCCATATAGCAGGTTGGCTGAGGGGTACTGGGTTTGAATTCTGGTCAGAAAAATCCTAATCCTTATGTCTATGTTTTAACTATTTTTAAAATGCACTTTTTTTACTTGTATGTAAGGCGACCTTGAGTGTCAAGAAATAAAATGTATTATTATTATTATTATGTAAGATGTGCTCCGGAATCCCCTTGCGACCTGCTTTGATAACGAGCAATGTTCTATTTTATTTGTGGGTGTTTTCAAACAATGTCTTGAACTTTAAAAAACTAAAAAAATAATTGACACGTTCAGCAATAGAAATGTGAAAAGTTGTTAAAATATCAGTACCTTTGCATCTGTACCTCATATTCACTTATTTATGCATCACACATTAATTTGACCTGAAGAAATTGTACATAATTCTCTAGAGGGTAAAATATATTTTCTTTATTTTTTTTTGCAGTTTAAACAGTTCTCTGGGGATCAGACTGGATACAGTGGTTCTTTTACAGTATAGTACAATTGCACTGTCAGGAATTGGTGATAAGGCCTGTGTTAATGGACCCTCCTTGTTTTATTGAAGATTTTTGTCAAAGACTGGTGCCTCCTTGACCTGTCCCATGTTGGAAGGGGCAGTCGCCTTCATTGGCTAAGGCTTTGGTGTTGGAGCATGGAATTGTAGCTGTCCGAACCTTTATTGCTTTCTCATTAGCTTTCAAGCTAGTTTTGTCTATTGCATATTTTTTCAAAGGTTTTTCAATTGGTGAGAAGGCCTGTGTAAATGGACCCTGCTTGTTCTCCCAAAGTTTATTGTCAAAGACTGGAGCCGCCTTGACCGTTTCAGTGTTTGAATGGGAAATTGCCTTCATTGGCAGAGGCTTGGTGCCTGGGATATTTTTGCTGTCCGAACATTTGTTGCTTTCCACAAATTGCCAGTTATACTGACTACTTAGTCGGTGTACCTGACCATTTACTTTCCACAAATTGCCAGTTATACTGACTACTTAGTCGGTGTACCTGACCATTTATACCGAAATTGGTGATAAGGCTGGGAGATCATTCCTGATATTTTCTCTTTTTCGAGTTTTTTCCCATCTTGCTACTTTGAAAGATTATTTTTTTCGGTGGGTGGTTTAAGTTTGCCTGTTACTCTTAGACTAGCACAGAACCTATAGTTCTGTGTGAAAGTTACATTTATGTCTCTATTTAGTTCACCTAATCTTAACAAGTATATGTTCTGCTGATGGCATCACAGTTTCAGACCGGAGATAGCGGTCCTTATATAGCACATTTCCAGTTGGAAGAGTGGTAGGTGGCACTCCTGTCCAGTCTGGACATGCCTGTTTTGTAAAACTCTAAAGGTCTAATAAAGGTCTCATCAAAATCCTCAAATTCATCATCAGCCATTATAGAATGACCGGTCATTTCCACTGCCTCGTTGTTGGATGTTGACGGCCCAAAATGTACCTCCAGTGTTTCAGGCGAGGTTTTCCAATTTTCTATCCTTGTCAAACTTGTTGGACGAAATTCCAGAGGCCTGCTCCAGAATTCCTCACTTGCCTCCTCATAATACCTCAATTCAGGCATTGAGCTTGCGGAAGGACCTTTGTCCTGCAAAGGCATTAGATCACATCTTTCTTTTGTGACCAGGCGTCTGGGAGTGGATACTGCTTGACTGTAACTTTTCTTGAAATAAGCAGGATGATTGGTTGGCTCAGAAACCCTGGAAACATTTTCACATTCCCTGTTGTTCCTGTAGGCAGGGCAGGTCTGCTCAATAATCCTTGGGTCTTCTTGAGGTTTTTGGTCAAAAACTGGTGCCTCCTTGACCTGCTCAGTGTTGGAAGGGGCAGTCGTCTTCCTTGGCAAAGGCTTTGGTGTTGGAGTCTGGTAATTTGTAGCTGTCTGAACATCTGTTGCTTTCTCATTAGTGTGGTTTTTCAAAGGCCTACAATAGTAATCAATATCTAGCTCTTCATCTGACATACTGGAGAAGAAGTGATCTAATGCCTTTATCGAACATGTCTTTTTAGGTCTCACTGAAGGACCATTAAACTCCTCTGACTCATCCGGGATATCGGCATAGAAGTGAACACTTGGTTTTGTTAATTCAGGCCCAGAAGTTGAAAGTTCCTGAGCCGCATCGTCATTGGTCAGAGTCTCTCTTCTGCTTGGTTCCATTTGGATGAGAAGACTTTGTAACCGTACAGTTTCCTTTTTCCTCCTGTTTTTACCTGTAGGATTTGGAATCTCACTCGAAGAGTCAACCACTTCAGACTTAGGAATTGGTGATAAGGCCTGTGTTACTGGAGCCTCCTTATTCTGCTGTGTTGGCCTTTTATTCCAAATGTCCTTTCCTGCATCATGATTTCTCTCTTTTGTTTCAGAATCAGCTGGTTTTGCAAATTCAGAGTCAGAATTTGTAGCTTTTGCAGCCAGCTCCTGATTTGTCACATAAGGTCTGTCTACCGTACTGGGAGATAATTTCTGGTTCCTTCTCTTTTTAGAGTTTTTTCCCATTTTGCTGCTTTGAGGCCTACTCTGGAATTCCTCACTTGCCTCCTCATGATCCCTCAATTCAGGCCTTGACCTTGCGGAAGGGCCTGTCTCCTGCAGAGGCTTTGAATAATTGTTTTCTTTTGTGACCAGGCGTCTGGGAGTGGATACTGCTTGACTGTAACTATTCTTGAAATAAGCAGGATGATTGGTTGGCTCAGAAACCCTGGAAACATTTTCATTTTCCCTGTTGTTCTTGTCGGCAGGGCAGGTCTGCTTGATTGTCCTTGGGTCCTCTTGAGGTTTTTTGTCAAAGACGTGTGCATTCTTGACCTGTTCAGTGTTGGAAGGGGCAGTCGTCTTCCTTGGCAAAGGCTTTGGTGTTGGAGCCTGGAATTGGGTAGCTGTATGAACATTTGTTGCTTTCTCATTAGTGTGGTTTTTCAAAGGCCTACAATAATAGTCAATATCTAGCTCTTCATCTGACATACTGGAGAAGAAGTGATCTAATGCCTTTATCGAACATGTCTTTTTAGGTCTCACTAAAGGACCATTAAACTGCTCTGACTCATCCGGGATATCGGCATAGAAGTGAACACTTGGTTTTGTTACTTCAGGCCCAGAAGTTAAACATTTCTGAGCTTTCTCGTCATTGGTCAGGGTCTCTTTTCTGCTTGACTCCATATTAATGAGAAGACTTTGTAACCGTACAGTTTCCTTTTTTCTCCTGTTTTTACCTTTAGGGGTTGGAAGTTCACTTAAAGGGTCAACCACTTCAGTCTCAGGAATTGGTGATGAGGCCTGTGTTACTGGAGCCTCCTTGTTCTGCTCATGATTTGACACATAGGGTCTGTCTACCATACTTGGAGATAATTTCTGGTTTCTTCTCTTTTTAGAGTTTTTTCCCATCTTGCTACTTTAAAAGATTATTTCGCTCTGTGCTGTGAGTTTGCTTCTAGCTCTGTGTCCTCTGTGTGTGCTGAAGTCAAAAACTTGTACCTTCTTATGTGGCCGCAGACGATCTCTGTTGCCACCTAATCTCTGAATGTTCTGTTTATGACATCACCATGCCATTCTGGTTGCCATGGAAACGTTTGTCATAGCAACAGTAAACACAGAATGGGAAAATAGCTGTGTTAATACATTCATAATGCATGCAATTATATTTGATTGATTTTTTTAGTTGTCCATATTAACACTTTTAATTTTTGGGTCATCCTTTGTTGCCATTCATACAAAGTAAAAAAAAGACAACATTTACATAATTATGCACTGTTCCAGAACAGAGCAGAGAGGATTCATGGTCCCAGTGGCTACTCCATCTCTGCTGCTGTGACCTGAAGGGCTGTTGCTGATTATTGCTATTGTTATCTTTTTTAGAATTATCAATTTTATTTTTTAATTTTGCTGCTACTGGACACCGGGATCAATAAAGTATCTATCTATCTATCTATCTATATGTTTTTGGCACTAAAAAACATCCATAGATCCAGATTTAACAATTGTAAACCGCTTTGAGACTCAGATCTGCAGTGAAAAGGCGGTATATAAATAAAAACTTACTTACTACTTACTTACTATTTACATACAAGAAACTCCAGATAAATCAATACATGTATGTTTTTGTGTATTTTAGAATTTGTACACGTTTTACAAACAGCCATTGCCCCGAAACAACAAGACTTTCCACAAAACTGCGATGCACGGCTCGCCTGACAGTAATCCTGCTCTTTCCGGCTGCAGTTCATGATTTATGGGGACGCCCCGAAGTGTGAGGCGGCCGGGGCGTCTGACTCGCAACCACAACAGGCGGAGGGAAGGGATCAGTGGAAGCCTCAGCAACACTTCATGATCTGTTGACATGACTCCGGACAGCTGGAAGTCGTGTCAACAGATCAACAGACATTGGATTGGTTAAGTCTAGACAGCAACTCCAAGCTAAAGTAGCTTGAGTTGACAAAGGACGAATCAGAATCATTTTTATTGCCATGTAAGTAACAGGAAGTCACTAGGAAATAGCTTTGGCTATTTTACTTGAGTATCATTGTGGGCTTTTTTGTTACTGTATTTTGCAGTGGTACAAGTTATTTTGTTGCATAAATCTATTTCAATTCTAACCCCATTTATGTAAGTATTGTTGGGGTTTGCCTACACAAGTACAGTATATAATGTTTCCAAATATTTACGTATCTACAGCTATATTGTGTTTAATTTTGTGAAAATTCTGCCACGCAAAGGGGGGAAAAAAATTAAAAGATCTTGAAGTGTTGGATCGTCTTCTTTCATGTGAATGTTGGGAATAATGGCCCTTTGCATGTGTGTCCCAGGAGTGATCGCCCTCTTCTGCCGTCAATATGACATCATCAAAGACAATGAGCCCAACAACAACAAGGACAAAGCCAAGAACTCCTCAGAGTGCAGTACCCCGGAGCACCCACAGGGGGGGCTACTGCGCAGCAACGTCTGAAACCAGCCCCACAGCGCCTTCTGCAATAACCCATTCTTCCAACCTCAGGACTGGTGAGGAGTCGTTTGAACGTGCTTTGTGATATTGGGTCTCACTAAGGAGTTGGTAGTTCAATCTCTATAGGCAAGACACTTCACTCACATAGTCTAATGAACAGGCCGGCCACTGAACCACAACTCTGTACGCATGTTAATGATGTCACGATACTAACATTTTAACCCCATACTAAGAGATAGACTCAAACCACTGTCAGTTACATGCCAAATCTATAGTTCCTGCACAGTGAACTTCATCAAACACAAAACAAAACATTTTAAGACTCCCTTGAAAAATATGTTGTAATTCTTATTCCTGCATAAATAAAGGTAAATCTTTTCTCTTTTTTTGTAAAGGTACCACAAGGTTTTGCACCATATCTGAAATAAAAACAAAAATCATCAACAATCTGAAAAAAACCCATGTTTTTATTCTCAATATCAATACAAGTTTTAGTATCGATACCATCAATACTTGATAACCCTAATGCATGTATAATGAAATACCAACTACTGTTACACTTGGTATCCTTGAATAGTGCCATGCTGTGAATGGTAAATACAGACACACACGCACCACGCGTTTGTCCAAGGTCTTCAAGATATATTTATACCATATATGATAATGTCAATAAATTATGCGGCGTATTGAATTAAAAGTAAATTTGTTAATTCAATACATTTTATGATTAAAATGTGTGCATTTCATAATTGCCCAATGGTAGCAGTTGTTCGAAACACTGTTGTTAAAATGCACGTGGTTCAAAATAGTAATACATTTAAACGTAGAATGTGCAATAAATCTAATATTATATCTGAGGGGGAGGGACACTGCGATATTCAGACCCTCACACTCCTTATACACACATCGATATGATTAGATAGAGTAGAACATGTTGTAAATCACAAAAATGAAACGTCAGTGAAGACATTTTAAACGCATGTAATATTTGTAGTACTTTTTATGGCTTTGTGCATCTGATTATGTGGTCTTGTGAGCTTTCCCCTTTTAAACAAGACTACAAGTGCACGGTGAGTCAGGGTGTGGTTCAATAAGAGCAGTAGCAGAAAGTCTGGCACTACAGGCACTGTGGTCAGCATTTTTTTACTTCAGAGAGAAAAATGTGATTTTTCTCTTATATGAGCGATATGCCAATAGAAAGATGACATATAATATACTGGTTTTGTTGGCCTTTAAAGCATGTCAAACCAAGTTACTATAGGCCAAGAGAAACCCGGAGGACTGCGACATCCCTCTCATGTTTAGCTTTTGAAAGATTTAGTTACAGCAGAAATCTTAATGGAAACAATTTACTCACGCACCTTTTTCGTAAATTTGTGGAACACCTTTATCAGATTTCTTTGACAAGCTATGACAATTTCAATTTGATTTTCGGTAATTTTTTATCTGGATTCTAAAACAGCACTTTTTCACATGAGTTGCATGGTACATAATTACAGGAAATCAGGAATCATTTACATTTGGAGGGTTTTAGTAATGACCTGTGCCACATAATTTTACATGTCATTAAATGTAGATATGTTGCCAGATGGAAAATAGCACAACAAAAATGTCATTGTGGGAAAACGAATTTATTTATTTCAATTGTGGGCATGACATTACATCACATACTACAATTACATTTCAAACTATTGTAGCCCTGTCACACATATGAAAAAGAGTAGAAAGAAGAAAATAATCTTAAGTTGCCTGCCCTTTTCAACATGTAAAAAATGAAGAAAAAATTATCAAGATGCCTGCAGCACTCCTTCTTCAAACTGTATTTATTTATTCATTTCAAAATAAATATTATGGTTTTTTTCTATATTATTATAGTCATTTTCTTGTGTTTTGGAATGAGTTGGATTACCAAATTGGCTCCATATGCCCACCTGTTTCACCCCTGATGCCCCTTATACAGCCAGCCCATAGCACAACATACATTTTACAAAGACATAGGCTATTAGCTGTTTTATTACTGACAAAAACGTGTTCAACTCTGTTCCAGTTCCTGAAACCAACCGAAAGCCATCACCAAACCACCATTGTCTTGACAAACTGCTACCATCAACCCGACGGCGGACTCAACTCCATGAAGTGAAGGACGAAACTCACCCTGTTGTGACCAAAACCGGACTATTTTGAGACGGACAGACGCATATATATCTTGAAATAGCCGCTTTGAAAACGTCAACAGCAGAGGGACGCAATCTCCGCGGGACAAGGTCAGACATGGTGGAAATCCATCAGCGGTGGCATTGACGAAGAGGATCATCACACTTCAATGCCTCTGCGATTTTTTATTTTTTTCCTTCTTTTTTGTTTTGTCAGGTTTGTATCAAAAGGGTGGGGAGGGAGGGGGGGACACGAGCTTGGCAGACAACAGCAGCTGGTCCACTTTTGTCTCGGGGATGAGTCACCGTTCGACCGGCCAAGGACGTTTTTTTTCACTTCTTTAATACACTTGTTTGAGTAAAAACACAGCGCACCGCCTCACACCACTTTGTGTCTCCGATAAGCACATAGCTGTCTGGTGCTCTCTTCTTTATGTGATGCTTACCATTTTGAATAGGTATATAGCATTATGTTAGAGGAATTTATTTCCCTGTCTATGCCCAATGTCCTTCCTTTACCACATCACTTTCAACCTCTTTGAGACACTTTTTATTTTTATTTTTTTACAGAGATTCAAATACTTTCCTAACAGCTTGTCTCACCATTAAACCTGGGGTACCTAACTTTCAAAACAGCAAAAATAATGTACTAAAATGCATATACAGTACATCCACATGCATGCAATTTTCCTTTTTTTACTCTGAAAGATGGAAAGCAGCGGACCACCCTTGCTCGGCCAATCAGCTCTCAGCTCTCACCGGGCTCTTTCATTCCATTATATGCAAGTGTTTCACCATAGAAAGACAGCATTTTTAACCTATTTAACATTTGACTTTCATAATACTATTTTTGTTGCAAACTTGATAGTTTGGTCAAAAAGTGAAAGTCTTGTACCCCAGCTTTAATCTTACCAGTAATGTAGGTCTGAATAATTCTTTACAGTACGACCCATCACAACATTGTACACACACTGTAGATTTGCACTTCTATCACATTTTGTTCGTAGATGATACTCATTTTACTCTTATCCTGTGGCTACAATTTGGCATAACATAAAAAATATAGACCTAAATATTCCAACTAAACAAACTACTACACTAAACTGTACTTGTAAACTGTACTTTGACAGATTATGACAGATTATAAAGAGTTATTAGTATTCTTAACCTCTTTTTGCACATCATATCCATTAGTTTAACTCCTTGGACCAAACTTGAATCTATAAAGGGTGATTTATAAAGTGAACCCTGGTGGCTGGCCAAGCAATCTATCTGTGATGTCTTTGAATTATGGCTGCACTGTATATTTTAGTTATTCTTTTATGTGACGACTATACTGAGACGCGCTGCAGACTAAATCCCTCGCAGAAAAGTTACATTCCTCATAAAACAAAGCACTATAATGACAGCTAAAAGCACTAAATCTGCAGATCTAGCTACAGCATAAAGCTTAAGAACCAAACTTTGACTTAAAAGAAGAAATGATCATGCATTATCTTTTGCCATACAAAATAACATGTTTTTTTTTTTTTACTTTCTTGTTTGATGTTTTAAGAATAGGAAATACTATTGTTGCTTTCTGCCAGTTTTTGTGTTTTTTTGTTTTGTATTTTTTCCAAATTTTGAAACTTACCGGCTGATTTGTGATTGTGTAGAACAGGGGGATCAAACTTGTACCAGAAAGGGCCTGTGTGGCTGCAGGTTTTATCTCCAATCAAGCAGCTCTCCACCCACCTCTTCAATTTGACACTGGACTCACATAGGTGGAGTCTGGTGTGCTCCTGCTTGGTTGGAATGAAAACCTGCAGCCACAGCCAACACTTTGAGTGCAGGTTTGACATCCCTGAAATAGAACGTAATCTCACCAGAGGAATTGCCAAAACTAATTTAAGAGCAAAACTTTTGATTCAAAGAAGGAGAAAACTGCTCTGAGTGTGATGTCATAGTAGTACAGTGGCATCATACTATAACAGGACTGAGGAAGGAGCTTTTCGACAGAAGGGGCGGGGGTTATACATTCCCTGATATTAGCTTGAATTGATCTCAAAACAACCCCAGGTCTGCTTCTGACGTGGAGCAATGTTGTGGTTAAAAGACCGAAAAGATTTTACGTAATTGCCTCCTCCTTTGATCCTTGGAACTTAAATATACCTCTTTGGGGCATCTAACTTGGTTTTATGCGCTTCTACCTAACTTTGCCTGCAAGCTGAATTCTCGCGGTATTTGTGAGTTCACAAACACTCGAGAATACATCTTGCCCCGCTCCCGCCAACCCTTTTCGAGTAGAACATCTAGGTGTTCAAGCCAATCACGCGCCAGTCTGAGGGTTTAGGGCGGGATATTCGGGTTTGACGAAAGCAAGAAGTGCCGGGCCGAAGCAAAACAAACATGGCTACGCAGGAGGACGGACGCGTAGCTGAGGCTATCAAGGCAGTTTTAGCAGAATCTCCAATTTCTTTTTTGAAAGATGAACAGCGAGAGGCGCTTTGTGCATTTCTGGACGGCAAAGATGTTACCAGGATTGGTTTAAGTCAAACCTTGGTAGGCGGGCACACAGCGTCACTTCGCCCAATCAGCTTGAAGTATTCTGCTGCTTATCCCTCCTTTCCCCGAAAGGATTTTCCTGCAGAAGTCCCAGATTGATATTGTGGAGAATGCATTAGAGTTCCACACAATCATCAATCTGGCTCTTGCCAGGTTAGCTTCTCCCATCTACATCTCAACCACTTGGTAAAGGCCTATAATATAAAAAATAGGGGTTTATTTATAAAAACATAAAAACAAATTATGTGTTATCCGCTCTCCTACATCTCAGAATATCAAAAAAGAAAAAACGACATAGATTTCTTCAAGGAGTGAACATTAAAGGGTTAAACCTTTGCCTATAGCTGTAATGCTACGGTGCTAAACCCAATTTCCCATACATATACATTGATAATTATTTGCATATATCCAGGAGGAGCATATGTTGTGTGGGCTGCAGCGTTATGTGCCGGGAATGAGGAGTTTTATAATGAAGTCACAAGTCTGGCACTCTTTCCACTCTCCCTCTCAAACCAGCATGTTGTCGACTAGGAGGGATGCGCCCAGCCGTGTAGGTGGAGGAATAGAAGGATTTTTTCTTTACCCCCCTTTAGCTTTTTGTGTAGGACAAAGAAATGGCTACATAGTGCAATACAGAAGTCGTTTTGATTAATAATATATAAGCCAGACAATTGCTGCTGTGCTGTATGCAAAGCAAACTGGTTGCTTTAATAATTTACATCCAAATTGGTCCAGAATGCTAATATGGGTGTGTTTGTGGATCACTGGAACTAGCAAAGGTTAAGTGCAGGGCATCTCCTTTCTAAATTGAGTTACTTGTGTGCACAGCGCGTATAACCAATATCCCTTAAAGCTGGGGTACCCGATTTTCAACAAACAACAAATGGAACTATGTGATAAAATACACATAAAAAGCCTAGTTTTTTGTATTTTGTTCCTGGCTCTAAAACAGTTGGGTTTTCACATGCTTGTACTTTTGGCCTGTAGATTAGATTATCAGACAGAAAATTTGAAAAGGGGAGGAACATTCTCCCTCAGCCAATCAGCTCTCAACCCAAAGAGTCAGGGCTTTTCTTACATGAATGCAAAAGATTATGTATTTTCTAAAAATAAAAGACTGTTGGGGCAAACAACATGACAACAGACAAAGTACCCTCAGAATTAGAAGGTTACATCACATGTTTTTGCACTGTTTTAAGTCATCCTTATGTAATTTTTTTTTTATTCCCTTGAGTACAATTACATTTCCGCATTTGATTATCTCAGAACAACTTAGAATGCAGATAGGACCCACTAATTATCTGGGACGATTTAATTTAGCTTCTTTAATGAGCATTCGTAGGACATAGTGTTCCACGCACAGAGCCATACAATTCAATTTGACACACTGAGAATTTTTATTTCAACTTTATTTAACACCTTATATAGATTCTCCAATATCCTGGGAATGAGGAAAACGACAGCAAGTCAAAATCCAAATAAACATGATATTCGTTCCTCTTCCGACATCAATGACAACCCAAATGCGTAAATATTTACCATCTCCATTCTTTCGTTTAATCTGCCATCTTGTGATGACTTGAATGCTGTTTTTTGTTTTGTTTGTTCTTATTGAATTGCAATGCACTATTCAAATCAGTCTCCCTTTTATAGTGCCACTGCCTCTGTCTGTGGAGTTCACCGCAAAGTCACAGGCAAAAAGTGAGACGCCTAAGTGAGCAATGGCAGCAGGATTGGTCATAATGAGTGCGCAGACAGGCACTATCCAGAGAGATGTAAGAAATGACTTCCACGTCGTTATCTGCTCAATATTCAAACCCTTTTCTTGCACTTGACTAGAGAGTGGACTTTAATCCATCTCATATACTGTGTTGCGCCATGTTTTATTTTAGTCATTCCATCGACACCATGGTGGGATCAATGCGCAGTCCGAGCTATCGATTCTTAGATGTTCCCTACATGCATAACATAGATAAACCAAACACACAAACCATGGCCAGAAATCAAAATGAGACATGACATTGATAATGCTGGGAAGAACTGTGTGGGCTTTAGTTTAACATGTGACGCAAGCAATAAATATTTACACTAGTTTTACACATAGACAGTAGAAAGAGTGGATTATTGCGGAAGATTAGATAGAGCTAACTCAAACTCAAGCTCTATTTGAATCTAGAGACAAATCTGGGAGTTGCAATGATCTAGCAACCAAAAGGCCATTGGGGAGAGGCGCTGGTCTGTTTCGGGGACAGAAGGTACCTGATTGGTCGATTGTTTAAGTTGAATAAATGGACAATGTACAGTTACATTAAAGTACCATGCTACTTTCCATGTGCAGTCCTTGTCAATACAATCATATAACATACACATTCAAATACAGTTCAATAAATAGTGCAAATTACCAACATGCATATTGAAATATTTGTTGAGAGTCATATCTGGA